TATATATTTATATATATATATATATATATATATATATATATATATATATCTGTGTGTGTTTGTAATTATATGATGATGGTATCGTACATTTCGGTGACTAACACATAGTTAAGTGAGATTTAATGGGAAATAACTTTATTATATAATACTTTATCTAAATTTTTAACATTTACCAGGATTATTCTAATACTTTTGAGTTTTCCACCCTTGTTTTCAGTCTATGGATTTCACTATCTCTCTACTTATACTCAGACTTATCTATTTATATTCGGTTCTTTATCAGTAAATCGGTAACCACGCACTTACTATTACGCTGAATCATGACATCATATTTATCCCACCCTATTCAATTTGTCATGAATGTGACTTCATGATGTAATCGGCCTGAAAAGGTGGTACTAGTGTGCGTTGCCTTTGGAATGTGCCTGAGAACCCGACCGCCGCTCGCCCCGAGCATTGTGTGTGAAATTGGGTAGACAGAAGTGATTTGAAGCCGTCTATGATTGTGCTAGTTCGAAGTCACAAGTCATCGTGACCGAGTGTTTGAGCATCCTGGCGTTGGTAAAAATGCGGATCATGACAGATTATGCACGCTCTACGAGAAACTGTCACTGGGGGATGTCCTCAGCATTGTTGACCTAATAGACATAAACCAAAACGAGAATAAGGCCATTATATATATATATATATATATACATATATATATATAACATATATATATATATATATATATATATATATATATATATAGAGAGAGAGAGAGAGAGAGAGAGACAGAAGGGAACTTGCAATCTGCGAGGGATTGGCTTGCTTCCCTTGTATACGGGTGAATATATATATATTATCAAAACGAGAATATATATATATATATATATATATATATATATATATATATATATATATATATATAGAGAGAGAGAGAGAGAGAGAGAGAAGGGGGGGGAGCATCTGCTATAGGGATTGGCTTGCTGCCCTTGTAGACGGGTGAACTTGCAAAACGACAATGACTGGCCATTATATACATACATACATATATATATATATATATATATATATATATATATATATATATATATATAGAGAGAGAGAGAGAGAGAGGCGGCATCTGCCATAGGGATTGGCTTGCTGCCCTTGTAGACGGGGTAAACTTTCAAAACGAGAATAACTATTATATTATATATATATATATATATATATATATATATATATATATATATATATATATATATATATATAGAGAGAGAGAGAGAGAGAGTGAGCGAGCAGAGATTGTGATTGAGTTGGAGGTAGAGTAATAGTGTGAGGTAACCTCTTGTAGAAGTCAGAGTTACACGCTCGTAGACTCTAAGGAAGTCCTACTTCGAGACTGTATATATCTATATGTTAATGCTACTAACCGCGTTCCTGGATTTACTAACAGTATTACCCATTGTATTATTGTGTAAATACATTTAATTTCTTATATTTAATTCCTGCGTTTGTCATTCATTGGAGCCCGAATTTCATCTCGGAATCCACAACACACTTATTGTCAGAACACTTCCCGGATAATTAAATTTTCCTCACCTACTGGATTTTAATGTCCTCCACCTGTAAATTGCATTTCGGGTTTCTTCTGTTTTTTTTTTTTTTTTTTTTTTTACTGATGACCATGCATTCCGTTTTCTTGTAGTTTATGCTTAGTCCCTTCTTCTCGCTCTCCTTCGTTAAATTTTATAGGAGGTTTTGTAATTTCTTTTCGGTATCTGCGATCAGTACTGTGTCATCTTCATATCTTATATTGTTACGATTTATGGCCACCCCCAAAAGAAACCCAATAGGATTTCTATTTCTTTCAGGGTTGCCTCGCTGTATAGGTTGAATAAGTCCGGTGAGAAGACACATCCTTGCCTTACGCCCCTTTCTATTTTTGTATATTCGCTGAACTCATTCTCTATACACATACAGTATAGGTTCTTGATTATTTTTATATATTTCCCAAATATATCAAGGTTGCTGAGCAGTTCCAACAGATCTTTGTGGCGTACATTTTTGTACGCCTTTCTATAAAACACGTAAACCTCTTAAAAATGTAATTTTTTTCGTCGCGTTTATTATCAAAGGCGCCATATAAACGGAGAATTCTTTCACTACACTTTTCTGTGGGAAGCTAGAGTGGTAGAAACAACTATACCTCCGTTGGTGGACTAACACGTCATATGAGTGTTCACCTAAATGATAATAAAACTCCTACTGCAAGAGGGGCCCAAATTTCCCCTATTTGCGCTAGTGCTGACTGGACTGAAAAGTTAAATCTGTGCTCGTTATGTAAATCAGCCGAAAACATTGTTCGAAATCGCGTCACAGCCATCAAAATGGCTGAACATAAATTAAAACGATGATTCAAATTTTTATTTGGCTATAATTATACAGGGTGTCGATAAAGTGTACTTTAAAAAAATTATAACTTTATTTTTATTTGCGATAGAAATAATCTGTAAAAATGTTATAAAGTTTAATGTACCTAGTTTCAAGTATAGTTATTGAATAATTCCTTACCACAAAATTTGCAACAATATTTAGATCAGTAAAAAATATTTTCTATTTTCCAGAATCAATTTGATCCATGGATTCAACTGAGGAAAAAGTAAACTGTGTCCTTTGGTTGGCTGAACTGAAATCTACTATTGGTGTACAAAGAAAGTTTAGAATTTAATACAATATAGAACCACCTCATAGGAATACTATTCCTAAAGGGATGAAAAAATTGAAAGAGACAGGCCCCGAACTGCAAAATCGTATTACCCTTTGTATTGCTAATGATGTGGAGGGGGGCATGTGGAAAATTAAATAAAATTTCAATAAAACCTTAACAAATATAGATTTCTTTCTTTCTAATCCTTTTTACAAATTATTTCTATCGCAATTACAAATAAAGTTATAAATGTTTTAAAATGCACACGAACTTTATGGACTCCTTTTATACAGTATGATCTCCAATATTGCTGTCATATCTATTCTGGTGATCCTGCTATACATTTTGATATTCTTGATAAAATCGAAAGAGGAATCTACAAATTTATTGGTCCTTAATTAAGTATCTCGGTTTCGTAACGCAGCTATTTCCTCATTTTGTGCCTTTGATCCACCCGTCTCTTTCTGATATTAGGTATAAGTGTCCTATTTGTTTTTATTTTCTCTAGAACGTTGTTGCTTAGATGTATGGTCCATGGTATTCTCAGCATCTTTCTGTAGAATCATATTTCTGTTGCATCAAGTCCCTTCTCAATCTGTGAGAAGATTATCCAGTATTCACTGTCATATATTATGACTGATATTGCATAAAATTTCCATACTCTTTTCTTTGTTTCTAACGAAAAGTAAAAGTCTCTTAAGCTTATTACCTCTCTGAATTAGCTTCGTTAAAGTTCTTTCTATTTGCGACTGTGTGGCGTCAA